TGGCCGGGAGCGGCCACTGCACTCCAATCTGGGCGACAGAGTGAGACTCCAACTCAATAAAATAAAATAAAATAAATAAAAATAAAAATAAAAAAGAATAAAATGATAAAGATGTGAGGTGAGGAACCCACTATGAATAAATCAAGGAAATCAAAGTGTCAAAAAATAGTCCTAGTCAGACTGCACTCAAGAATAAATTTACAAATTTGTAATAAAACCCAAACTCCTCACCATAGCAAATAAAACCCTCTGTGATCTGATTCTTGCCTGCCCTCTTCTCAGATCTCAACACTTGTCACTCTCACCTCCCTCTCTTCTTTCCAGCCTCCCTGGCGAAAAGGTATTCCATCTTTATAAAGCGGTTTTCTTGAGCTGAAATGCTCTTCCTTCTGCTCTTGGGGTCCTCTTTTTGTCTCTCTCCTCAGGGAAGTTCTCTCAATCTGAAGCAGCCACTCTGGAGGCTAGCACATCACTCTATTTTAATTCTCAGTGTTAACAATTACCACCATCTTCGGATGTCTGTTAAATTATTTGTGTTCCCCTCTGAAATGTAAATTCCTTGTCCATCTCAGTCATTTCTCTATCCACGTAAAACTGTCAGGCACCTAATGTGCTCAAATAAATGTGTTAATGTTTATTTTGTTCAAGTCCAATGAGCTTCGGGTTTTACTCGATATGTATTGCTCACACCTGCAATACCAACACTTGGGGAAGCCAAGGTGGGAGGACTGCTTGAGCCCAGGAGTTCAAGACCAGACACAGTGAGACCTTGCCTCTACAAAAAATCAAAAAATTAGCTAGGTGTGGAGCAGGCCCAGCTACACACCACGCTGAGAAAGAAGGACTGCTTGAACCCAGGAGGTTGAGGCTGCAGTGAGCTGTGATTGTGCCACTGCACTTCGGCCTAGCAGAGTGAGACCCCGACTTAAAAATAATATTCCATATGTAATATAACATGAAATGACTAGAAAATAAATCTATCCAAACTATATATATCTGACAGTAAAAAACTGGTGTATAATGACATAGAACCAGCCCTGAAGGGATACCTATAAACTCGACTAGTGCAATTTATAATCTCTTGTTCTAATCTTATTTAGGAAAACCTCTATTAAAATAAAAAATGGAGCATGCCTTTTCCGACCTTCATCTTATCCGAAAAGTTCAGTCTTTTTTTCAAACATAAACTCGAATCAAGCCTAAACAAATGCTGGTATCGTATCACCTTACTGTTGCACTGAAAACAATCAAGATCAGGTGTTGCTTTCTGGAGCGCTCCCAAATCGCAACTGTGCAAGTGCACACAGGTGACATTCCAAACAAACTCTGGCTTCCAGCCCCCGTGGCTCTCAGCTGCCGGCGCAGTTCCCAGGCCACACAGTCGGGAGCCTGGAGGCCCTAACCAGCTGCCTCCAGTCCCCGCTGCCCGCCCAGGGCTGTGGGTGTGCACCCGGCCTCCAGGGTCCGGCCCCAAGCAAAATCCCCGGGCAAACCGGGTCACCAGGCCCGTGTAAACACGAAGCAGCCCCATCGAACACGAAGCGTGCCGAGCACTTTCAAAATAACGCCAGTGACTTACTCTCCCCGTTTGAAAGGACCAAGAATTTGCCCAACCGTGAGACCGGCCGGGCCTCCGGGGACTGAGCGACACCCGGCAGGAGCGCGGCCTGGGACGCCGGGCGCCCTCCCGGCGGCGCCCACCCCAGGCCAAGGTTGCACCGCCGCGGCCCTCCAGGTACCGGCGGGTCCCTGGGGCGCGCTTGGAGCCGGGAAACGGAGGGTTTAAACGCCCCGCGCGAGGACGTTCCGCAGGCTGACCGCAGTCGCGCTTCCCCGCCCGGCGCCGCCCCTCTCACCTGGAAGACCCGGGACGCCCGGGCGGTGCGGGCCACGTGACGCGCAGGTGAGGCGGGCGGGGCAGGCGCCCTCCGAGACCCAGAAGCCGAGGAAACAGGCCACGCCCTCCCGGGGGGCCGGCCGACGCCGCGGCGCATGCGCGCTCTTGCGCCCCCACCCGGAGGCTTCCTCCGCGCCCTGGCTTTAAGATCAAGATGAGCTCAGACTTTGCAAGGGTTCTCAGTTGCGAGCGATGTTTGGTGTGTCCCTGAAGCGGCAGTCCCAAGGCCTAGCGAATGCCTGAAATGTGGTTTGAGAGGGAGCACTGCATCAGATGTACGGTTATCTCCGCTTAAAACTTTAAAATCTCTTTCCTCTCCTGTACTTCTCTGCCCTGCTCTGACTTTGTTCTCCTCGGAGACCAGTCTCCCTGTCTGGTCTTTTTTGAGTAAGCCCGCCGTTAAAATCTCATTGTATCATTAATTTCTAGTTTTGCTCCTTGTGATATGCTACTTGAAGAATGTAGAGAACAATTTTAAGTGATATCTTTAAAGGGAAGTTAACTTTTCGCTTAAATACTGAGGAATATGTGCTCTCAAAATACAATTGCAGAAGGAACAGAATAGGTGTGAAGCAATTAGTGAGCTACTGATGACTAAAATGTGTGGTTGAGAGTAAACGAGCTCAAAGGAGAGACATGATAAACGAAATGATAGGCTTAGGTGAAACTGGAAAAGGTAGGTTAAGAAATGTGCCCTAAATAAGTCTGAAGTCTAGGCCAGCTGAGAGATTAGTTTGGGAAATACCCAGTTTCACAGTAAATACTCAGGAATGTATTGAGGTTGCTTTGCTTTGCAGGCCAACCCTATGCCAGAGTGTCATAGTTGGACAGGGTAGAGTTTCAGGGAATAAAAACTCCCTTGAGGTGTTTAGTTTGCTAAAATATATCAAGCTCAATACATGTGAAATGTGTGCCTTTTTTGTGTGTGTACATTATATTTCAAAAAATGTTTTTAAAAACATCCCTGGGAATTGCTCAGGGATTCTCTAATATCAATGATACAATCATTCACTCGCCCACACCTGGTGTTATCCACAGCACCATCTCCTCATGGAGAACCTTGGGATCTGGAGAACTGTAACTTTGCCTGGGAGCCTGATGTGTTACTTTCTGCATTATGAAATGGTCTCTTAATTCCCCTTATCCTTTACCATTATATAAACTTTACACCTTCTAACTGGCCATCTTTTCGTTAAACCACCCATAGTCCTGGTGTGCCAACCAACTAGTAAGAATTAGTGGAGTTCGCGGGGCACGGTGGGTCAAGCCTATAATCCCAGCACTTTGGGAGGCCAAGGTGAGAGGATTGCCTGAGCCCACAGGTTTGAGACCAGCCTAGGCAACATGGTGAGACCTCGTCTCTACAATAAATCAAAAAATTAGCTGGGCATGGTAACTCGCCTGTAGTTCCAGCTACAGGCTGAAGGACGGAAGGACTTTGGAGCCCAGCAGATCGTCTCTGGAGTGGCCATGGGCATGCCACTGCACTCCAACCTGGGTGACAGAGTGAGATTCCGACTAAAAAAAAAATAGCAGAGTTCTTTAGACATACCTGGAATTCCATAGAAAACAAAGAAAGATTCAGAAGCTAGCCAATAAAGAAATGGAGGGTTATAATGGGGATGGTGTATATTGGGCATGGTGAGAAATGCCTGAGGTAAGAAAATGTACATGTGACTGGGAGAAAGAATACCAGAAAGAAAAGCAATGACATGTATGAAACTTGGTATTTGGAACACACTAAAGAAATCTTGCAGTTCTAACTGTGTCCTTTCCTTCCTTTGTGGTACAAGGAATATTTTTCTTTTTTTTTTTGAGTTGGAGTCTCACTCTGTCACCCAGACTGGAGTGCAGTGGCCACTTCTGGCCACTGCCACCTCGACCTGCTGGGCTCCGGCGATCCTTTTGCCTCAGCCTTCCAAGTAGCTGGAACTACAGGAGCGCGCTACCACGCCTGGCTCATTTTTTTGATGTATTGTAGAGATGAGGTCTCGTCAAGTTGCCCAGGCAGGTCTCGAACCCACGGGCTCAGGCAATCCACTCACCTCGGCCTCCCAAAGCGCTGGGATTACAGACTGA